TTCCGTTTATGAGTGGAAAGGCAATTTGGTTGGCACCAGCTAGCAAATTGTTGTGATATGCTCACCGATTTGTATCTGAGTTTCCTTCCTAACTAAGACACAATAATTTCCATTTTTCTGCATTTAATTTTTACTCGGATCGGCTAGCACCGAAGCATGATATTGACTGGCTAAGCAGCGATCTATAGTTGTGTGTATATTTCTTTTCCATTGGTTTTGACTTTGACTTTGGCTTTATAACATTTAAGGCATAAAAGCCTGTTGCATTATTTATATATATATTTATTTTTTGTGCTTGAAATTGTTGCCGCAAATGCCTTGTGAGGATTTCGTGGTTGGCATATTATCGACTAGTATCTGCAATCTCAAAAAAACACTTTTTGTTGTTTTATGACACATTGTTTTCTAATAGTTCTGAAGGTCACTTGCACATTAGTAGGTTAAATGCTGCAGGATCTGTGTATATCTATAAACTAAACTCCTTAACAGTGTTTTTTTCATTTATAAATAAAGTTAAATAATTTATTTTGATTTAATATATAAATCAATATAATATATAATCAGTATAATATATAGATTTCAAGGCTTTGTCATATAAAATTGATTTATTTATTTAATACTACAGATATTTCCAGATATTTTTTTTTTACCAAATTATATAATTTATTTTTTAAAATAACAAATAAACAAATATAAATAAAAAAATATTCAAATATTGAGGCTAATTTGTATCTTAAGGATTCAAAATATAATCAAAAAGTATCTTGTATCTTATTTATCTCGGCTAGTATTTTTTGCAAATTTGATATACTTTTAATAGTGTATGTATAAACTGTCGATCAAATGACACATACATAGTTACAAGCAAGTAAACAAAGAATACGCGAATGTGTTATAATATGTACATATAATAATAATATGTATGTATAATATGTAATATGAGTTGTTATGAGGCCAAATGTTAGGATTAGTATATACAATTGTACACTGTTTTGAAATTTTCTGTTTGTTTTTGATTTTTAAATGAAATAATTGATTATTTAAAATATATATATTTTACCTCAAATACATTCCAAGCAAACAAAATATATTTTGTGTTACAAATAATAACAAGCAGCATTAAAGGTTAGAACTCAACAATTGTCAATCCCTCTAAAGGTAACAAAAAGTCCACAATTGTCTTCCATAAACAGATGTTATTATATTGTAATATATTTTCTAAAGATACCAAGATATTTTCACATATTTAATATAGTTCCGTTTTTGTCTTTTTAGTTTGGTCTCAGAGTTTTCTACATACAAAATGATGTCGGTTATAAACTCACACACTTGTTTTTGATGTTAGAACAGTTCCTTGTCTGTTTGTTTCAATAATGTAAGTATATTTTTGATGATTTAAATATTTTTTTTAATTAACACTCTTCGTCCTTCGTCAATTTTTAGATAAATAAGAAGTTTTGTGTATATGAATGACAGAGAAATATATATTTATTATTTAAAAATGTAAATGATAACTATCTTACAAGTTCTTGACTTCAGTTAAATTACTAAGCAGCCTAAGGTTATCATTTTAGCTTTAGGCACTTATTCATATTAGGTGTACAGAAAAGTAATGTTTAACTCAATTAGAGCATAGTTAAGTTATATTAAATAAATTTTTTTTTTAATTTCATTTTTAATTTTTTATGTACATAACACTAAAGCAATTTACTTTAACGTTTTTTAATTACCAGGAACTAATTCATATTAGAAGTGTTACAGTAATACATTGTGACCGAAAAGTTTTCGGGAAATTTTAAATAAAACGCAAAATTCTTAACCTTCATCAATATTTATTTTATCTCCTTCAAAATACTGCTCCATTAGAAGCGATACAACAAATGCCAACGTTTCTTCCAATCATCAAAACATTTTTTATAGGCGCTTTCCGGTATGGCTTTGAGTTCCCTCTGCGAATTCTGTTTTACGTCTTCTATGGATTCAAAACGCGTTCCTCTGAGTGGTAATTTGAGGTTGGGAAACAGGAAAAAGTCACACGGTGCAAGATCAGGTGAATACGGTGGCTGTTCGATGGTATTTATTGAATGTTTGGCCTTAAAATCGTTGATAATGTTGAACAAATTGAGGTGAATCGGAACAAGCCGGGCGTTGACACGTCGCATACACAAATTGTCCACCA